GTGTCGGTGACACTTGCACGCTCTGGCTTTAAACAAGGTCACTCTTACTACCGATCATTAAATATGGAGCCACGCAGGGCAGGGGCCCGTCCCTAAATAAGGCCCGAAAAGGGGGATCGGACGACAAACCGGCGCGCCGGCCGTTGGAGCGCGATGCGCACTTTTCGGAGACTTATTGCGAGGAGCACGAGTGTCGGCGACACTTGCACGCTCTGGCTTCTAAACTAGGTCACTCTTACTACCGTTTATCAAATTTGGGGCCACGCTGGGCACGGGGACCGTCCCTAAATAAAGGGCCCGGGAAAAGGGCCATCCTGCCGATCCCGGTAACTTCCAGTCAGACGATCAGGATCCGAACAATCCAGCACCAAAGACCAATTTATTCCAAACCAGCAAAATAAGGAAGACAGTCAACGAGTAACCATAGTACGACGCGCAGGAAACGGGGCTGCACTGGAGGTTGTATCCAAAAGATTTTCCTGACAAATTCAATAATTATTAATAAAGTTAGCACGAGAAGAAAATGATAAGGACACCTTCAGAAAGAAACTTCATACACTGCCGTCCTCCTGTCACTATCCCCCCCCTCTCTTCTAACTTCCAGATTTGGTAAGTCGTGGTAAGTGCGACATTGCATTTTAGTGTCGCACGACACTCGTGCACCTCGCAATAAGTCTCCGAAAAATGCGCATCGCGCTACCATGAGAGTCTCTCATGGCGCTACAACGGCCGGCGCGCCGGTTCGTCGTCCGATCCCCCGTTTTCGGGCCTTCATTTAGGGACGGTCCCCGTGCCCTGCGTGGCCCCATATTTAATGATCGGTAGTAAGAGTGACCTTGTTTAAAAGCCAGAGCGTGCAAGTGTCACCGACACTCCTGCTCCTCACAATAAGTCTCCGAAAAGTGCGCATCGCGCTACAACGGCCGGCGCCGGCCCGCACGTCGGTTTGCCTGGCCGTCCGATCCGCCCTTTTCGGGCCTTCATTTAGGGACGGTCCCCGTGCCCCACGTGGCCCCAAATTTCATGATCGGTAGTAAGAGTGACCTAGATTAAAATCCAGAGCGTGCAAGAGTCACCGGCACTCCTGCTCCTCGCAATGAGTCTCCGAAAAGAGCTCATCGCGCTGTCGCCGCGCCGGCCGGACCAGCCCGCGCCGCTCCGGGCCATGCTCGCTCAGCACAAAATCGACCAAAAAACGAGATCTAGAGGTCCTAGCGAAAATCGGCAACCAGGAGATTGTTCCTGATACTCCCCTTGACAGATTGACCGAAGAGGCAAGGTTTTGGGGGGCTGAATCTTGAGTTATAAGGTTTTTAACGCCACTGTGTTAAATTTCCGGAAATTTTGACTTTGAGAGCTTATAACTTCCATTTCAAATTGATATTGTCGGTTTATCAACGTGAGCGTGCTCTATGGACCCTCCCTAAGCGACGCTAGAAGTTTTGGGTTTGAAAAATTTCCCAATTTTAAATGCCTTTTTTGATCGAAATTAAACCCGGACAGCGCGAAAACTGCCGATGTGGGCGGCGGGTTTCCCACCCGGAATCCCCGTAAGGCGCCCGTTTAAATTTTAAACCGTTTAATTTTTTTCCCAAGGGACGGATCAAATGCCTCTGCGGGTCAAAACCTTTTTTTTGGCCCCAACTATCGATGTGCAAAGCGGCATCATAGTACTTTGATTTGCAGTATTCGTCCAATTCGCTTGACGTTCACCAGGCACTAAGGGAAGGTGGGGACCATGTATCCGGGGGCCCCGTATCACGGCGTATTAAATTTCGTTTCGGCCGCGAGGCGAGTCACGTGTTGCGGAATCGAAACACCATCTAGAGAGCTTCATTTTTTGGAAGGATGCGACCTTGCATCTCCAACAAACATGGCGGCGTGACTAAGTGAAAATTTTGGTCCCCAAAACTGAGGGAAAGTAAAAAAAAAATTTTTTCAAATATCTTTTATTAGTTCCCGCTATGGAACATTGTCGCAATTTTTTTATGTGGGAGTGTGCGGAAGGGCTTTGACAACAAATAGCAGTGCCGAACAGCAACAGCCGAGCATAGGTTCTGGCTATACACCGCAATGTTCAATGCTCCGACAAGTGGGGACCGATGTATCACATTTTTTGGGGTCCCATGTATCACTCAAATTTCATGTTGGGGGGCAATTAATCACGGAAAATTTTTCCCTATTTTAATGCCTGTGCTGTAATCATTACAATATTATAATAGAGTGACAGGCGACAGGTGTTACAGTCTAGTTACATTTTGCCATTAAACAAACACCAAAAAAAAAGTGATACATGAGTCCCCACCTGTGATACATGGGTCCCCACTTGTGATACATGAATCTTCACCTTCTCTCTTTGACCTCAACTTACCTTAGGAATGGTCAAACTCGGTCAAACTTATAAACATATTGTAGAAATTAATGCTGCAAGGAAATGTTGCATAATTTGTCCTTTTATTGAAGTTATTTTTGAAGAAAATAGCTGTGATACATGGGTCCCCATGGATGATACATGGGACCCCAGGTATGGGGTCCGATGTATCAAATACATGATTTCAGTAGATTGCGCTCCTATCCAAAACCAGATGAGATACATGAACAAATTCAATTGGCCCTTGTAGAAGGAAGATAAACTCATGCTTCTGACCCAAAACATTTGCTTTATGCCCAAAACCAAAATTTTGACACTCAAAACAAAAAAAAGTGATACATGGGTCCCCACCTTCCCTTACTGGGCGCTGAGGCCGCACCGCGGCCTGTTCGGCCGGCCTCAGAGGCCGCTTTTTGAGAGCTCTGTCACGCCGGTAGATTTTAAATGTTGGTAGCACCTGGACTGGAGTCCAGTATACCGGGTGCCGCACGTCACGTACGGTGCCATGTTTGGACCCGCCGCTCTCAAAATCATAGGAATGGACACCCCGTGCATCATCGTGCGCGTTAGTGACGTCGATTAGAGTGACTTCCGGTTGCCTGAGGTCACTTCCGGTACCACGACTGGTCTCGCCGACCTCGAAAACATATATGTAGACACCTCGCATGGCTCTGTTTTCGTTCAAAGCGTTAAACAGCAAGAAGTCGGCCATTTTTTAAAAATGGCGGATTTTGACTGACTTCCGGTTGTCGGAATGCATTTCCGGGATCATATTCGGATTCCTTGGGTCAAAATCATTCGGAATCGACACCCAGTTTGGGTCTGTAGCTAAAATGAGGTCCGTTCGAAATTTTAACGTTAAATTTCCCCCACCCCCCTAAAAAATCTACCCTAAGGGACAAAATTGAGTGTTACATGGATCAAATCGACCAAATGGGTCTTAGGAACAAGTGTGCCAAGTGGCACCTTGGTATCACAATTTGCAGTTTATTTTTGCCTAAGGGAAGGTGGGGACCCATGTATCACTTTTTTTTGTTTTGAGTGTCAAAATTTTGGTTTTGGGCATAAAGCAAATGTTTTGGGTCAGAAGCATGAGTTTATCTTCCTTCTACAAGGGCCAATTGAATTTGTTCATGTATCTCATCTGGTTTTGGATAGGAGCGCAATCTACTGAAATCATGTATTTGATACATCGGACCCCATACCTGGGGTCCCATGTATCATCCATGGGGACCCATGTATCACAGCTATTTTCTTCAAAAATAACTTCAATAAAAGGACAAATTATGCAACATTTCCTTGCAGCATTAATTTCTACAATATGTTTATAAGTTTGACCGAGTTTGACCATTCCTAAGGTAAGTTGAGGTCAAAGAGAGAAGGTGAAGATTCATGTATCACAAGTGGGGACCCATGTATCACAGGTGGGGACTCATGTATCACTTTTTTTTTGGTGTTTGTTTAATGGCAAAATGTAACTAGACTGTAACACCTGTCGCCTGTCACTCTATTATAATATTGTAATGATTACAGCACAGGCATTAAAATAGGAAAATTTCCGTGATTAATTGCCCCCCAACATGAAATTTGAGTGATACAGGGACCCCAAAAATGTGATACATCGGTCCCCACTTGTCGGAGCATTGAACATTGCGGTGTATAGCCAGAACCTATGCTCGGCTGTTGCTGTTCGGCACTGCTATTTGTTGTCAAAGCCCTTCCGCACACTCCCACATCAAAAAATTGCGACAATGTTCCATAGCAGGAAGCTAATGAAAGATATTTGAAGAAATTTTTTTTTTACTTTCCCTCAGTTTTGGGGACCAAAATTTTCACTTAGTCACGCCGCCATGTTTGTTGGAGATGCAAGGTCGCATCCTTCCATAAAATGAAGCTCTCTAGATGGTGTTTCGATTCCGCAACACGTGACTCGCCTCGCGGCCGAAACTGAAATTTAATACGCCGTGATACATGGGACCCCGTGATACATGGGTCCCCACCTTCCCTTACCGCTAGCACTAATCCCTAGTAGTGTCATAGAATTGACTAGGATGGGCTATTTATCTGCAACAGTTTACAAGAAATAAAAATTGAACCATTTTTGAAACAAAGTTTTTAACAAAAAAATTGTTTTTTATTTTATTCTTGAAAACTATTGAAGATAAAACGCCCATTCCAGTCAATGCTATGACACTACTTTGGATGAGTCTCCCTGATTATTACCCCAAAGATCTGAGCAAGTATGCGAACAAAATCTTACGAAAACCAAAATTTTAAATGTTTTGACTAAATTTCCAAAAAAATGTCTTAAGTCACTTCACTTTAAGCCCAAAATGAACACTCTCAAAACCTTACGAAGTATTTTGAGCATACGCATAACAAACTAAAATACTTCGCTATATGAAGAAATAGTTCGTAAATTACGAAGTATATTCTTTGTAAGCTTACGTATGCTCAAAATACTTTGTTATACAAACTACTTTTCTTTGTAAGGCCCAAAATAGTTAGTAAGGTTTTCTCAGTGTAAGCTTGTTTAAACACAGAAATTGTTAAATCTTGATTTATCTACATCCAAAATAAATTTTACGGTGTGCTTCTAACGTGTGTGAGCCCCCTTCAAAAGATGCGGAACTTACCCATACAAAAATAATCCTTGAGCGTTGCAGACATGCAGCTGAAATAGATGCGAGGAAGACGTATCTCTTCTGGAACACACAAAAAAAATAATTGCCAGAAAGGCCCAGACTCAAAAGCCTGTTACAAGGGGAGCGCACCCTGTCAAATCGCATACGACGAGGGGTCCAATTCAAAAGATCTCATCGGGGCGTTCCCTCTACAGAATCGATCTGAAACGCAGAAGAAGTTCACCAAGCTTGATCCATGGAGCTTGATCATTAGGGACGGATACTACACTACAAAGCCGGTGGTAAGTTTACTTGCCACAAATTTGGCAAGCCGTTTTGAATGCCAAAAATTGGCAAGCTTGGCCCGGAAATACCACCCAGCTTGCCCAAATTTGGCAAGCTTATGAAGATGACCAAAGCTTGCCAAATTTTGGCATTTGAAACGGCTTGCCAAATTTGTGGCAAGTTAACTTACCACTGGCTTTGCAGTGTATATAGGAAGCGGAACGTATTTTTCAGTCCTTGTTTCTTGGCTCTTTTATCATCACGACTATAAGACGCAAATCAAAAACCATAATGATTTGCGGCTGTATCAAACGGTCAAACTGAGTGAAATTCGCTTGCGTTCAAGATCAGATTGTTTTGGGAGAGAACGCCTGTGTATGATATCTTAACTAGGACCTGTCGACAAAGCCGCATTGAACTCGCTTCGCACCCTGTTACGCCAAGACGAGCCCGTGCCCGCCGTATTCGCAGAATGATTCGCTGGACCCGCTTCGATCTCCCGTATAGAACCAAATGTACGCCAAAAGTCGGGTCACGCCTCCTTGCCGCAAGGGTAGCAAGACGAGATAAGATACCAGTAATAGGTTGGTTTTCGGGTTGACTGATGCGACCCGACTTCCGGTCCACTTGATTTACTAGCCATCGAGGTGTATCCGGTGAAAAAATAGACTAATTCGCTGGATCCACTTCGATTCCTCGGGAAAACAAATGCACCGGATGTGGGGTCGCGTCGGCCAATCAAAAGCCTTTTTCCATCAAGGGTAGGCGCTACCACTAATGGGTCGGCACGACCAAACTTCCGGTGCATTTGTGTTTTCGAGGGATCGATGTGGATCCAGCGAAATAGTCTATCCATTACTCGCGACAACCCGTGTACCGATAGTCAAAAGGGTACTTTCGTAGATCCTGAACCGGAAGCGCACAGACGCCAAGTTGGCGGAAGTAGATAAAAACTTGACATGGGAAAGAGACGATAATCAAACGTATCGGCCACACTTGAACATTAACAGTCGGTTGATACTTATTTGCAGTGCATATGAGTTTCGCGAGCAACATTTTAGCAGCTCTGCTATAGTTTCGGATCCAAAGAGAGGTTAGTTTCCGGCAAATATGGCGTCTGCTTGCTTCCGGTTCAGGATCTACGAAAGTACCCTATTGTCCGCGGTGCTGACGTTCCTACGTACTTCAGCACAGCACAACAACGACGCGTTACCTTTTCAGCCGACACCCTCTGCCACGTTTCTTCGAGTACCCCGGAGAAGTGCAGTACTCACCAATAGGCAGAGTTTTCTCCTGAGTCAGCCTGGTCACTGCCCGCCTAGTAGGACGCCGACGGCACCGCAGCGCTCCAAGTTGCAGCGAATCTGCATGACCCGAAAAGGACCGCCGCACCAGCCTGCAGCGCTGCCGACTGTCTTTTCTTTCTTGAACTGCGGAACTCGCCACGCCGCGGCGCCTGCTACCTCGGATCGTTCCTCACGTGTGCTGCAGCAGCAAATCGAGCCTGTACACCGTACGCACCAAATGGCTAAGGACATTTTTCTTACCGAACGATTTTGTGTCGCAGGCGGGAACGTTTTTCAGCGTTACTAAATGGTGACAAATTCCAACACAAACTAAGGACAAATTTGTCCACAAACTTTTGGAAGCATTATTGCATAAAACAAATCGCTAAATTGTTCATAAATGTGGACAATATGCCCGTACATAATGATGTTCTCAAAAACGTCCGTAACAAAAGTCTGTAGCAAAACGACAGAACAATTTGGAATTAATCCACTGTCAATCTCGTATTGACTTAGAATCTCTTGCTACAAAGTTTTTGCTACTATTTTGTACGTTGTAAAATGAATGTGTTTCGTCCGTTAAGCCCGACTTTTTGTCATTTGCAATGTACTTTTCAATTTCTACACGATCTATTAACAAGCCTATCTTTAAAATGATCAGAATTATGCATAGTTAAAGAGGCAATAGAACATTTTACGTTTGCTCAAAACACGTAAGCAAGAGAAAACAGAGTCACTGCGAGAAAAAAGTACGGAAAAAGTACGGAACATGTCTGGTCAATAATTTGCCTGGAACGTCCGTACTTGCCAACTACGGAACGTTCCGTACTTTTTTTCCGTACCCATTTACATAGGTTCATATGGAGCAAGTACGGAACGATCCGTACTTTTCTCCGTACCTCCGTACTATATTTTTCTGTACCATTTCCGTACAAAAGGACGGAATTTTTTACAGTGGTTATGTCGGTCTGAGAGTGTATAAAAGAACTGTCGATACAATTCGCCCACACTCTCATTCCAGGAACGTGACATCACGTTGAAACGAACGTGACAAAATGTCACGTTCGTTTGAGCATTGTGTCACGTTCGTCTGAATGTGAACAAGCTGATTTTTGGCCAATTCACACCCAAACGAATGTGACACAATGCTCAAACGAACGTGACATTTTGTCACAAAATGTGACATTTTGTCACGTTCGTTTCAACGTGATGTCACGTTCCTGGAATGAGAGTGCAAAAAGCGCGGGCAACGCCTCTGCTATTTCCCGGCAGTTTGGCCGGCAAACAGTCTCACAAGTAAACGTTTTCCGTGGGGCGTTGCAACGCGTTGCAAGTAACTATGCCTGAAGGCGGGCCCCTAAAATGTCAAGGAGATACTTGAGAATCCTATTGGGTGATGAATATGCGTACGGTACAGGTATAACACCTAAACCGAAACAATACCGGGCCGTCGACAACAGTTTGAATAAATGACTAAAACGCAAAACCTGAAGCAGTGAGAAGCAAGGGAACAGCTCGGAACAGCTTCCCTTAGATGTGCAAAGTGCATCAGGAATTTGATTCCATGTGGACCTTATGCAACCGCTTCCCAGAGTGTTTTACTTACAGAGCATAAAATAAAAAAATTCAAGGAAGCGGAATTAAGGCTTCGACCACATGGGAACAGAACTCCGGTACACTGCGAACTCCAAAGAAAAGCTGACCCCTTGCCTGTAACTGCAACAGTTGTTGAGATCGCTAATCTGAAGGCGATACTCAAGTACCTTCTTTGACGATGGCCCTTCACCACGAACCAGCCCCGCAGATTTGTCATAAGTTTATTGCAAAATCTTGGCATTATCCCGAAGCATCCCCTAATACTGGCGATACTGGGCCATATAGAACGAAGGATTTATCGGTCAGGCTGTTTCCTAATAATACTCAATTGTCTCGCCTACGATAAAGAGTATCGCCTTTGGTTGCACAGTGGAGCTGTACGTGTAATGCGCAACACACGAAGGATGGAGCGGAAGCCCAGGGAGCTAAAACTTGCTCTGCGTAACGCTGCGGTGCAGTGGGACTCCGAGCCAGCGTAACGTCACCCTTCATGCATTAAATATGCGAGAACATTTCCGAAGTGCTAAAGTAAATAAAGCGTGTCAGAAATCGAGAGTAGTGACACTGTTGGAGGGGCGGAAGGTTCTGCCGCAGCGTAACGCTGCGAAACATGGGGAGCTCTGGCACTTTTACTCTTAAAAGGCGGTCTGCAGTTATGTCTTCTTCTAGGTTCATGTCTACAAAGCTGCATTCCCCGTCAACATCTTCTTCGACAGGAAATGAAGCTAGGGAGAAAGAGGGTTCAGGAATGTTGTCTGCTTCCATGCTAAGCTTGCGTGCTGTTTTCAGAGCAAGTGCCTCAGCCTTCACAACAGCTTCATGCATTTCCTGACTACTTGGTAGAACAAACTTGGGTGCTACCTGCTGCTTTGCTTTCGATGAGCGATGACTGGTTGGAAAAGCAAATGCGTCGCCAAGTGAAGCTTCAACATCAGCCTAAAAGTCTATTCTTCTTTTTCGATGCAGAAGCTCCAAAATGGTGAAGTTTTCAACTGTTGTTGGAGAGGATGTCAGCAGCCTTGCCAGTCTGAAGAACGCTTCACAGCACTGACTTGAAAACAACCATGGCACAAATAGATCATCTTCCCCCAAATCACGCAGGTAGATGATGGATGTGATCAAAGAATGTGCATTTATTTCAATGCAAAAGTATGTATCACTGGTGATAAAATTATCTTGGTAGGAGTAGTCATTCTTCTGTAACCAGTCCCGCCACAATCTAAGAAAAAACTCATTCAACGAACGTTAATGAAAGCAGATGATACTCGTTTGGTTTTCTTCTGCGGGGTAGTATGAGCTCAATCCAAAGATAGTACTTAAAATCTCATTCAACGAACATCTGAACGAGGCCGAACTGGCGCCGAAGTCGGCACGAGCTGAGCAGAGCCGAGGCCTGCCCGAGTCACCCTTTGAGACGTGGCAGGCGGAGAGGGATTGTCAATGTTGCGCGCGGGCCGTCGCACGCGAGGAGGGGGTAGGGGGTGCCATTGTCCGCGCAGGCTGCGCCTCACCGCCAGCCAGACACACCAGCCCGCCCCGCCGGCCAGCCCCTATTATATTGTTAGGATACGCGCTTGGTTTCTGGACTCGAGAGTAAAAGCACGCTGACACCTTCATGTGTATAGTATTTTTAAGTATGTTGCAAGTGTGGTGAAGGTATCATCTGCTAAAAAGACCCACCTCCAAATGAAAATAATTCTTTGAATAGGAGGTAACGTTTTGTTCAGGAATGAAGCCACAACTTGTCGTGTCATTTCCAAATACGTTGCTGATCCAAGACTTTCAGGCACCTTTGACTTCAATAGTTGACCCACATTTTTCTCCATCATTTTCTCAATTGATCTGTAATTCATTTTGTCCTTGGAATTCAGGCCATTCTCTCTCAAATTATGTTGATCTCTACTCAAAGTTGTGATGAGGACTCTTAATTCAGCAGGCGACACAATATATGAACCAGCAGGAAGCACAATGGAAGGACTGAGAAATCTGTTTCTCAGTTTTGTGGCAACATGGTGATGGTCTTGAATGCTTACTCTTCTTGAGAAAATGTCAGACTTTAATGTTTCCAAATGTACCGCAAGATGACGCAAATGTCATGCTCTGCATGCCTTTTATGAATCTTGTGTCACCGTCAGAGGCATGAACTAGAATGGAAATACCATGCTTTGAGGCTTCTTCTTGAAGACAATTCCACCTTCTGGAAACATCTAAAGAAGTGAAGGGATTATTGGTCCCAAATAATGCTAAACATATGGGTGGGGCTCTATTAACAAGTGGTTGGGCCATGAGGGTGTATGCATAGTTACTTAAGTTGTTCTCTTCTAGATGTTTCTGGATAACTGAGGCAGCAGGAAATGCTACCGACTCAGGGCAACCGTTGTCATTCAACTTGGCGACAAGCCCAACAAGTTGGTTTGTCTGAGGATCGTATTAAACTCTACTGATGACCCGTGTCCCATCTTCTCCAATGCAGATTTTCATGGGATGCCCCCTACCGTAGAACGGGGTAATATGAGACATAAAGGAAAATCGAGACAAAGCGCCTTTTTTTCGGTTTTTGTCGTGTTGCTCTCTAGCGGTCGTTCGGAAGACCACCGTGAACTTATTTCCGTGATGTAGGAGGCCTTGGCAGCTCACATGAAACGCACGAAGGCAATCAGAGACTGGCCAGGATTATTAAAATCCAATGGAAAACCTCTAAATTCTCACAAGTTTTATAAAGTTAGTAAAAACCTCCCCAGAAACCTCGGATGGAACTTGGGTTCTCGTCCGAACGAGGTTTAAATCTGTAGGCAATCTTGTCAACATAATCAAGACAAAATTTGGTTTCGTTATGTCAAATCCCTGGCCGCCTGTTTCAGAAAGAATACAATTTTGTTACCTTGCTGGAAAAATCGACACACCTCTTTTCGCCTCAAACATGAGGCCAAACATCCTCCACTGTTAATAATTTCAAGAACGATTTTAAAACGAATTTGTTTTACCACCTGACCAGTATCTATGCTCTACGTTTAGTATTTTCATGTGACAGGTTAAACCAGAGCACAATTCACAACTTCTTTCACATTTTTCAGGTCTCTTAAGTGACACCCATTTTTGCTCCCCTCCAGATTTTAAATCTTCTTCAGAATAGTCCTTAATCATATTTAAAATGTATGAAAAGAAATTAAAAAGCTCCGAACCCGCCTAAATGAGCCAATTTTCCTTACTTCTATACGATTTTCCTCTTTTGTCTCATATTACCCCACATTGCAGGGAAATATGGGACGCAATTCCGAGGGTTATTGAAAGGTCCCTACTGCACCTAAAAATCTGAAATTTGGTGGGAGTGTAGCCAAAGGGTCAATGAAAAAGTAATGAACACCTCAGCACCTCAAAATGAAATTGAAAGTCGGAAATTCACGAAAAACCTCGAAATTTGTCTCATATTACCCCGTTCTACGGTATTTTGCAAATATTTGACCACCAAGTCAAACCTTATCTCTCCTCGTTCAGGGTTTCGATACTCTCAGAGACAGTATTTTTCAGAGTAGAGATGCATGGAAACCCTCCAGGACAGTTCGCATACATTGGAGAATAAAATTTTCTACCAGATGTTTGGAACATGTATGCAGAAAACTTTTTTCAAGTGAGATAATATCTACGAGCACAAGGCACCCTGTCTTGCCTCAAAGGCAGCGAGGAGAAATTTCATAGTTGCTCATTTTACTTGCAGCAGGTTTGTTTTGTCTTTCTAGGTCCTGAGACATTGATTCAATTTGCAACTTTAAAGCAGAATTTTCTTGCAGTGCAGATGTCACATACC